AGAGAATTGGCTCAGTAGGTAAGTGCACTAGCCACACAAGCCTGCTGACTCAAACTCAATTCCCAGAACCCATGTAAAAAGCTGAATGTGGGGACTAGAGACGTGGCTCAACCATTAAATGCACCAGGGGACCTAAATTCAAGTCCCAGCACCCAGATGGCAGTTCATACTGTCTATCACTCCAACCCCAGGGAATCCAATGTCCTCTTCTGGTCTCCTTGGGAACCAGGGAAACATCTGCTGCACAGACAGACATACAAGCAAAGCATTCACATGCATAAAAGTAAAAACAAACAAACAAACAAATCTCCAAAACAACAAATGTAGTGGGTACATCCGTAATATCAGTCCTCCTACAGTAAGATGGAAATAGAGACAGGAGAGTCTGCCTGAAGTCAGCCAGCTTGGAGAATGCTCCAAGGCAGCACCAAGAAGAGAGGCCCCACCTCAGTAAGGTAGAAAGGACCACTCTGTTTTTGAGACAGAGTTTCTCTGTATAGTCCTGGCTGTCCTGGAACTGGCTCTGTAGACCAGGCTAGGCTGGAACTCATAGAGAGTCCCCTGCCTCTGCCTTCTGAGTGCATGTGCCACTACCACCCAGCAAGGACCAACTCTTAAAGCTGCCCTCTGATCTTCACATGAGCATGCTTGCATGTGCCTGCACACACACACACACACACACAGTTCAAAAATAAAAGTATCCTAGTGGCCGGTCGTTGGTAGTGCACACCTTTAATCCCAGTACTCAGGAGGCAGAGGCAGGCGGTCTACAGAGTAAGTGCAAGGATAGGTTCCAAAGCTACACAGAGAAACCCTGTCTCGAAAAATCAAACCAAACAAACAAACAAGAATCCTAGCCCTTCCAGTCTCCACCTGGGGTACCAGGAAGGCTGCTTGCCTTTTTGAGGCCTGTTTCCTCTCATCTGGGAAATGGAATGATAAGGATTGCAGTATCTCTGAGGATGGTAGTGATGTTATGCCACAGTATTTGCAGTATTCTTAGCCCAAGCCTACCAGGTTGATTTTGTTATATTGCAATAACAAAGAAATTAACAGGCACAGCCTGGAGAGATGGCTCAAGCTTTAAAAGCACTTGTTGCTCTTGCAGAGGACTCAGGTTTGATTCTCAGCATCCACATGGTAGCTCACAAACATTCCTAATTCCAGTTCCAAGGGATCCTACATCCTCTTTTGTTCTCTGTGGGCACCAGGTATACATGGGGTGCACAGACATACATAGCAGGCAAAACAGTTATACATATAAATCTAAACAGATCTTAAAAGTTTAAATGGGGGCTCCTTCTCCAGTCTTTAGGAAGCAGCATAAATTAGCATATTTGATCCACTCGGTGCAGGCTGAGAGCTTTGGGGCTGACTGTCCAGCTGAATCATCCAAGTGTCTCTTGCTTGCTGTTCCCTCGGAGGCCTGATCATGTCCTCTTGATTGCCACCATGTCCCTGGCAATCTCGCATCTCCAATACTATTTAAACTCGCAGCCTCGTGCACTCCTGGGGCAGCCTTTATCTCACCCCACACCTTACCCTGTAAACTGAATCCTCTTCTCTTCCTTGTCCTTGATGTCTGCACAGATCTGTCTCCCTCTTGTGCAGGCCTCCAACAGTGAGGGACACAACCAGCCTCTGGTGGCAATTCCATGCAATGCCTGATTGCCTAATGAAGCCTTTCCAACTGGGCCGTCCTAGGGAAACTCCCTCCCTCCATTGATAGAGTCTGTGGTAAAGTGGAACTTATAAAATGTACTCTGCCCAGCTTCCTATCTTTCCCTTCCTCCGCCTCTGTTTTACAAAATGACTTGAATTACAAGTTGCATCAGCAGAAAGTATCATGTTTGGAATCAAGGAGGTGTTGACCTTTTCTGCTCCACGTCAAACCAAACATACATGGAATACTTTTTTCCCTCTCCCCAACTCAAGTACCAAACTATAGAGAAGCAGGCGAGCTGAAGGGTTGAGGATGTGGACTCTGGAGGCTGGGTGACCTATTTGGATTCTGCTGTGGCCACTTTGCCTCCTAAAGCAAAGGACTGAGCTGCTGCAGTGGCTGCTGCTGTCACTGCTTTGACTCCCTCTGTAGACTAAGCTGGCCTGCAACTCACAGAGATCCACCAGCCTCTGCCTCCTGAGTGCTGGCATTAAAGGTTCGAGCCACTTATTATCCCTGGCCTATTGCACCTGCTGTCACTCGGGTACTGGGGATCAGCACTCAGATCTTCACGTGTAGGCAGCATACAGTTAATTAGCTGAGTCACCTCCCCACCTCTTGGCTCCTGGCCTTCAGTCCAGTGCTCTTTTGACTGCCTCATCCTCCTTTATGGGTGGATTAGCAATAAAAAGGACAGGCATGAGCAGGCCTGAGGCTCTGGTGAAAGAATGCTGAGCAAGATGAGAATGTGATGTGGGAGGCAGGCCTGCAGCCTGTGCACAAACACTGCAGAGAGCGTGCTGGAGGCTACAGGAAGCAGGGGTCAGAGAGACACAGAGAGAGATAGAGAGACAGAGACATAGTTACCTCCTTGAGATGGCAGTACACTTATGAGATATGAGTGGTGAGTGTCTTGAATGTCATAATGTCACTTTTGGAAAATAGAACTCAGTGCCTGTCACTTTTGCCCATTCAGACTACAGCAAGGACACTGTGTCTGGGAGAGCCCTACAGAAACTCACAATCCTCAAGACAATGTGCTAGGGGCACGGGAAGACACGGTGGGGTGGGGGGGCACTTAATATGCTGAGAATGCTACGGACCAGTTGAAACCTGTGTGAACCCTCTTACTAATTTCTCTGTGATACAAAGACAAAATCTCATGGCTGTTTTCAGGACCCATCTCACACCCCGTTCACACACAGGGCTGTCGATGGTACTATCACCAGCATCGACCTTTTCAACTTGTCTGTCTTTTGCCTGCATGTATGTCCGTGTGCCCCATGTATGCAGTGCCCCCACCCCTAGAGAGGGCTTCTGATCCCCCAAGACTGGAGTTACAGAGCCCTGCCATGTGGGTGCTGGGGATTGAACCAGGGTCCTTTAGAAGAGCCATTGCTACAGCATTAGAATCAACCTTTCAACCTGGGTTAGGGCTGCAGAGTTGCAATAGCCACCTTTGCCCTCTGCCAGGCCCCTCCCTGGTTGTTCCATATCCAGGAATCTTGGTAAGAGCAGAGGCCAGGGATGTTTTAGAAGTCTGGTATGGCTTGCAGCCCAGCCTTCTTCCCAATGGGTCCCTGGAGCTCCAGCTCCTTCTAGAAACTTAAAGGTGGGGCTGTGCCAACCTATCTTGCTTACCTCAGGCCTCCTCTGCAATGTGAGTTTCCAGAACCAGCTCCCCTTCAGCCTCCGACTCCTCTCCATATCCCCACCCCACCTCCACTGTTAGCCAAGCCAGTCACCATAGTCCCTGGTGACTTCTGGCTTCTGCCCAATGCACAAGCACCCTTGGCTTCTTCAGTAGTTTCTAAAACATTTCAGTTAATGTCCATATGCCCTTTGCACTGTGACTTCCAGGAGGGCAGAGGTGGGCCTCATGTATGGATGTTGACACCCAGCAGGGCTTTGGAACACATACACTAAATAGGGGTCCTGGTCCTCCACTTTTGGCTTCCCAATAGGCTGACCCTTAGTGCAGGCAGCAAATGTGGATACTGGCTGCTTGGTGTTGGTCTCTGGGTCAGGCTGGGCATGGTTAGAACTCTCCCAGGCTTCAGTGCTATTCAGACTCTGATCAGGACACCATCACCTTTCCTCCTTCTCTCCTGAGGAGAGCTCTCACACCTGTAATCCCACCACATTGGAGGCTGAGGCAAGAGGATCTTGAATTTGAGCCTAGGCTACATATCAAGAGCCTGTCTCACAAAATAAAATAAGGACCCAGAGAGAGTTCAGAGGTTAGGGTATGCACTGCTCTTGCAGATGACCCAGGTCCAGTTGCCAGAATCCATGTTAGGTGTCTTGCAATTGCATTTAACTCTAGTCCAGGGGATCCAACATGCTCTGGTCTGAGCAGGCACATGCACATGTGGTACATATAAACTCATGCATGTACACATACAAGTAAATACAAAATACAGCTTTAGAACAATTTCTTCTTTAAAAACAAACACACATGGCTGGGTGGTGGTGGTGCACACCTTTAATCCTAGCACTTGGGAGTCAGAGGCAGGTGGATCGCTGTGAGTTCGAGGCCACTCTGGTCTATAGAGGGAGTTCCAGGACAGTCAAGTCTACACATAGAAACCATGTCTTGAAAAACTAAACACACCCCCAAAACAAAAACATTATTCAGTAGACTGAACAGTAAACTATACAAGCCTCTTGAAGGTGGAAAACAGAAAGAAAAAAAAAAAGAAAAAAGAAAACCCAGCTCTATAGGACAACATCCCATGTACTTGGAAATCCCAGCAGCCTAGCATATCCAAGCACCCTGTGCTCTCAGTACTTGCTGTGTCTTCTTTGGTTGAAGTGAGAGGGAAGAGTGTGGCTGACTGACCCTAATCAGGTCCCTTGCTGTGTGACCTTGGGCCTCCCAACGTTGCCAGATTAAGCAAGAGAATGAACTCCAGGAGAAGACAGAGGAGAGTCTGGCCTGAATGAGTGTTTATTCCCAATGAAGCAATCATGGCCCTGCCGCAAGCATTACCCATGCACTTCCTCACACACTTGGTCAGTGTGCAAAAGGAGTTTTAACATTCTCACAAATGATGCCTGACACTATGTTCACGTATTCTGCTTTTAAATTTGTTCTTCAGAAAGATGTAGTCTTTATTCACTTATTAACAGGGTCACATGTAGCTTGGGCTAACCTTGAACTGCCTCTACTTCCCAAGAAACAAGTACGTGCCACCATTTCTAACTCTGGCTGACTCTTTTTCTGCACATATTATTGGACCTGAGCTCCTGGCAGGGAAGTTAACATGCAGGTTTGTGCCAACTGTTTTCTCCCCCAGGCTGCAGCTGGGTAAGGACACTCAGCCATGGCTGTTACTATGGGCAGATTCCTTGCTAAGCTCCTTTCCACAGGCTCTGAGGTCTCTCATAATCCATCTCTGGTTATGCCTCCCAGGGAACAGAAGTTCTTGCACCTATTCACAGACTAGGATTAAAGACACTTGAGTCTTGTGTCCCTCCAGAGGCACAAGGTTTTAAGTTTCTCCAGAAACATCTATGATGGTCACATTCTCTGCAGGGCACAGAAAAGGCACTTAGAAAATACCCGAATAGGAGAGCAGTGGGGATGGGCCACCCACCCAACACTCTTGGGCTGCTAATCTTAAACTTGGAATCTCCTTGGGGACTTCCTTTGTGTATGTAGTACTGGGGATGAACCCATAGTCTTGTGCATGTTAGGTAAGTGCTCGACCACTGAGCAACAGCCTCAGTCTCCATCTCTTGGGACTTCACCAACACCAAATAGTGCCAGTCATCTGGTCCAATGCTCTCATTTAAGCTGAGGGGAAGAGGGTGACAAGAATGCTCTGGGCTGGTTTTAAAGGACCATGAATGGCTGTCCTGGTGAGCTAAAAGGTGCAAACAACATGTTGCTCCTTGTTTGATCTGGCCTGACATGCTGGGAAACAGAAAGATGGTGATGTTCTATTCTTTTGGCCAGACTGCTCCCAGGAAACCCAGGCAGTCCTCTGGGTGGCTTCGGGAACAGCAGCAGGCAGAGCTCCAAAAGCCTTGCAGACATCAGCTCCATCTGAGCTCAGCCAGGGGGAAATGAACCTGCCACTGAGCTGGGCCACTTGTAAGTGCTTCCAGGAGGAAACTGTTTTCCTGCTGTCTGTCAGTATGTCTGCCAGATCTTACCTAATTCAGCAGCCCTTGGGGAGGACAACACCCCATACCCGCTCTGCATCTTAAATGCTCCCAGAGGCCAGTAAGGCGCAGGGATTGCCATTGATTTTCACTTGTGCAGGCTGGCCTAACAAAACAATTTATCAAGCGTCTGTCTGCCTGTTCGTCCTAACTGCAATCAAATCAATGTCCCTGGCATCCAGAGGTCTGCAGATAAGACTCGGGCCCTGCTGGGTCAGGATCAGCCCAGCAAAGACCTCCTTGCACATCAGTTAAAGCCCAGGGGGCCCGTTAGCTGATGCCCATTGCAGAGTAGGCCACACCTGGACAGGGCTCTGGACTCTAGCCAACTTCCACTTGCTTCAATAGGGGCTGGCAGTATATCTTCACTTCTTTTTAGTAGTTTCTAATCTCTAGATTTGGGACAGTTGGTGGCTAACAGTAGTGTAACTACAGGGCTCTATAATTGGCTAAGTGTCCTTGTTCTAGCTGTGACATAGGGGTTGATATCATCTACATGGATCTATAACCTGTACAGACAGGGATCAGACTGAGTTTCTACTTCCTGCCTGTGGCCTACGAACACACTTTCAATCCGTCTCACTTCCCAATCTGCACTGTGAACTGGAAACAGTGCCTACCTCCTGGGGGGGAGGTACATGAGGTAGCTACAGAAGGGACCTTAGGCCGGCCTTGCACTGGTGACTTCCTTCCACAGGCACAGAGAAAGCGCCAATGTGCTCAGGCTCACACAGCAAGGAAGAGCAAGCAACATTAGGAGTGGCACTGAGGGCAAGCATGGAAAGTCAACAGGCAGAAAATGGGGACCACTGTGCCTTCTTGTCTTTCAGGTGGTGGTGTCATGAGGAGTGACAGAGGGAAAAGGCTGGAGCATGTCATGGAACATTGTCAGAAGGTCAGAAACTTTATTCACGGGCCTTTTGTTGCTTCTGAATATACAGGTCTCCTGCCATCCAGGACTTCCGTGAGGTGGTGTCTTGCTGCACAAAATAAGGACACCTTGGTTTTTCATCCCCATCCTTTCCCACCAGCACAGCTGGGAGATGGCCTGCTTGATGGCACTGGGTTCCTGCACCAAGGGATAAGGCACTTTGTGTTCTATAGGAAGGCGCTCATGGCTGGCTGGCAGGTGAGGTGTGGTGGTGGCCTTGAGGGGCCTCCTTCACCCAGGCAGCTCTGCCACCTCAGGATGGGATCATGCCTTTGCTTCTCTTCCGGTCAGCCATGGTTCTACGGTTGTGGTTGGCTCTGGTTGCCTTCTTGGCTTCTTTCTTCCTCCGCTCCTGGGTGGTTTCTCGGCTTTGCCCATGACCCCGGGGGCTGCCTGTTACTGCTGCGGAGTTCTCAGGCCGGTACCTGAAGGAATAACACCCACCACACGATGATGGACATCAGTTGGAAGAGGCTCTGACAGGAAGACCTCTACAGTCCACCCTGGTGGCTACCACTGAGGTCGTGCCCTGGCCCAGGTCCAGACAGGAAGGGAAATGGAGCCCCGGTCTAGGTCTGATTGTCTCCTAGCCCCTGAAGCTGTACCCATCACCCATCTGTGAGCATGAACTGTTAGTGGACTGGATGATGGTGATGGGTCTCTCCCCTCTGCCACCCATCCTCCTACAAATGGGACAATACTCTACTTTTACACATCAGGTTCTAACTTGGTGGCCTCCAAAGGCCAAATGTGTTCACAGACCTGACTGAGGTTCTCTGTAGCCCACCAGCCTCTGAGGTCTACTCAGAGCATTACCTCAGGGGAATGGATGGAAGAAAATCATAACAGCTTTGCTCTCTGATCAATAACCTTCAACTCCCTGCCCTCAGAATGAAATCAAATGTCTCTTGGTGAGGTCACCTATGCCCAGAGCTTAGGATGGGACTGGACTTCCATCCCTGGCCCATGCTTCTACTCTTGGCCCATTTGGCCAGTTTCTTTACTAACAAAAAGAGGGAACCTGGGCCAGAGAGATGGTTCAGAGGTTAAGACTTCTCTTCCAAAGGTCCTGAGTTCAATTCCCAGCAACCACATGGTGGCTCACAACCATCCGTTATGAGATCTGGTGCCCTCTTCTGATGTGCAGATAGTCATGGAAGCAGAATGTTGTATACATAATAAATAAAATCTTAAAAAAAAAAAAAAAAGAGAGGGAACCTGATAGTCATCTCAGGGATCCCTGTTAAGACCCTCTCTCTGACTGACTTGTGTTTCCTGAACTTCTCACCATAATAAAACTCCTCCACAGCTGGGCGGTGTGGCACACACCTTTAATCCCAGCACTCTGAAGGAAGAGGCAGGCAGATATCTGAGTTCCAGGACAGCCTGGTCTACAGAACAGCCAACACCACACAGCAAAACCCTGTCTGGAAAAACAAAACAAAACAAAACAAAACACCTCTTCCACAACTTTCTACCGTAAGAGCTTAGATCAAGTGCCCCCTTGTCTCCACCATGACTCTAAGCCTCTGAGGACGTGTTTTCCGCCTGGGCTGTTTTCATTCCACCAGCAAGCCTTGCACACACTCCCATGCTGAGTGAGACTTACACTGTCAAGTAATGATTATGAGTGCAAGGCTGAGCCACCTGGGCTCAACCCTTTTTGTTTCTGAAACAGATTATGTACCCTTACAACCAGAGGTCCTCTTGTTGTGGAATATTACTTGAAGATGTGTTACATTCCTTTATGCTGTGGAACATTTGTTTAATGATGCAAAGATGTATTGCATTCTTTTATGTTGCATTTGTTTAACTCTGTAAAGCTGTGTTAATAAAGAGCAGAACAGCCAATAGCTAGGCAGGAGAGAGAAATAGGCAGGGCTGGCACACAAGAATAAATAGGAAAAGACAAAAGGAGGAGGTGGAGGAAGGGGGTGGGGAGAGCCACCCAGCCAGACACAGAGTAAGAAGGAAAGAAAAGATGTACAGAAATAGAAAAAGGTAAAAGCCCAGAAAATGTAGACAGGACAATTTGAGAAAAGCTGGCTAGAAATAAAACAAGCTAACGCTGGGCATTCATAAGAAAGAATAAATCTCTGTGTGACTGTTTGGGCGCTGGGGTGGGCCCCCCAAAGAATAAAGAGTAAAAAACAAAGCAAAAAAACCCAAAAAACAAAAAAACCCCTACTACACCCTCTTGCCTTTGTCACCTGAGTACTGGGCTCACAGGTTCACACTGTGATGTTTGGTTTTCATGTGTGACAGGGTTTTGCTATGTTGCCCAGACTGGTTTTGAAATCTTGGTTTTAAATGACTCTCCTGCTTCAGCTTTCCAAGTAGTTAAGACTATAGGCACATACTTTGGTTGGCTTCCATCTTTAGGTGACACTTAATGCTGCATGATCTTTACTAAGTTATTTAATATCTCTCAGCCAAACCATACCATGATACTGACACTAATAGTTATTTCGTAGAGCTAATCAAGAGCTAAATACCCCCAAAGTCCCCAGGGGCCGGACAGCGGCGGTGCACACCTTTACTTCAGAACTTGGGAGACAGAAGCAGGCGGATCTCCAAGTTTGAGACCAGCCTAGTCTACAGAGTGAGTTCCAGGACAGCCAGGGCTACACAGAGAAACCCTGTCTTGAAAAAAAAAAAAAACCCCAGGGTTTCCTGCATAGTCAGCTGGGCTCCCCTGATGGTAATCCTCCAGGTGAATTAGTCCCTCCAATGCTCACCCCTTCCTGGCAAGGAAAGCCATGCGCCTGGCTTCAGCCTTTTCTCTCAGCACTGCAGGATCCTGGATGAAATGGTCCAGCTTTAGAAGGAAGAGAAGACAAAAATCTTCAATTATGTGCTTTTCCATTTCCCTGGGCTGTGTGGAGCCATGCTGGAAGGAATCCTGATGCATCCACGTGGGGCTTGCTACAGCAGGTAGGGTGGGAAATCTTTAGGACCGAGCCAGCTGAAGCTTTCTTTAGGGAGGGAAGGAGCTAAAGGGATATGGGGCAGGCTGGTGGGGTGAAAGGACCACAGTTAGCACGCCAACGGGAGTGGGTGCGGGTTTGGCAGAGACGGCCAACAGGAAAGGACACAAAAGGCCAGAAAGCTGACTAAGGCACCAGGAAGCAGGCTTGCCCTGAGACTTGATGGTCAGGTCTCACTCTGATACAACAGCAGAGGGCTGTGTGAGAGCTCCTCTTGAGGACAGCTTTCTATGTTCAAAGTGCACAGTGGACCTGTGCAAGGGAAAGTTAGGACCTCAGGGAACAGGCAGGCTTTGACACATAGCATATCTTAAAAAAAAAAAAAAATTCAAAGGAGTAGAATTAGTGACATGGAAAGATTCAGATGCAAATCTGGACTTACCCCAGGTTAGGCAAAGAGGAGGGATGGAGCCAAGTGGCTGAGAGCCCTGTGGCATCTCCACAGAGTACTTCCCATCACTTAGGCTAGTTCCCACCAGGCCCTCCATGCAGCCCTGGGAACATCTGGCTTTGTCCCCTGTTGGGGGCTGCCTGGCAAAGCCCTCAAATGGAGCAAAATCACTTTTCATTGGTTTTCTATTTGTGTCTCAAGTTAAGATTTCAGCTGAAGAAGTTGTTTAGCTGCTAAAACTGACTTTTCAGACCTACAAGGTCTAGTTATCTCCAGAGCCTCAGGGCTCTAAGTCTTCTCTAATTTTTAAGAACTGCCAGCCTGGGCACAGAAGCCTACAGCTACCCTTCCTTCTTCCAGACGGAAGCACCTAATGAATGACTCAGCTGTCCACAGACCCAGCGTCTAATCTGTCCCCTGGGAAGCCCCTGAGCAGTGGAGTGGAGATCAAAGCTAGCAGCTCTCCAAACAGTCTGTGCTTGAAAGGTCCCTCCCCAAACCAGCGGGTCAGAGGCAGGAGGCACAGTGTCTAATTTGCCCTTCAGAGCTGCATTTCTTTTATCTGCCACCTGCCCAGGATATACCTTGGGGGCCTCCTCTTCAACCTCCTCCACTTCATATTCTTCCTCCTGTCCTTCTCCAGGCGTTTTGGTTCTCAGCACCTGAGGGGTGGTGAAGGGCCTGAGGGTTGGAAAAGAGAGTGAGATCAAAGACTCCAGAGCACTGTTCAGGAGGCCAGGGAACCTCCACAGGGGTTTTCAAGCAGGCTTTGCTTTAGTCCCCAGATTCTTTAAAGGTCCCATGTGGAGGTCTTATATGGAGTGAGCAGAGGGTAGCTGAGCTGTGGCCCTGGGGATCCCCAGTCTTTTTGTTCATCAGGAAAGCCCGGCTTTGATCTGCATAGGGGAATCCCTACAAGATTCTGGTGAGAAAAATGTTCTGCACTTAGGAAAAACATGACTTGCTAAGACCAAAAAACAAAAAAACAAAACCAAAAAAATCAAAACCTTCCTGATTTGATTTAGTGTGTGTGGACTGGAGTGAAGGAGCATAAGGTGGGGGTGGGGGGTGGGGAAGCCTGGCTGCAGGCTGAGTCCTGGCTTCCTGACACTAGCGTGCCAGCCTTACAACTCACCTGCGGCTGATGAGTTCATCATCAGAGTCTGCATCATTGGCGCCCACCTGGTTGCCATCATATGTGTCATCATACTCGTCCTCATAGTCATCAACCTGGTATTCTCCTGGCTGCAGTGGGACCTGCAACAGCAGGCTCGGGGGTCAGAGAAGCTGGGGAACTGCTGGGTTTCTCATACCCAACAGAGGCCCAGACTGGACAACCTACCTCCTCCATTACCACACTGTACTGCTGGTAGCGATGCCACTGTGCCACCACAGCTCGCTTGTCATTCACCAGGCTCCTGACGTTCTCCTCCTTCCTGGAGCCAGGGACAGCAGGGAGAGAGGGAGGACACCATCAAGTCTGGAAGACTGCGGAGGGCAAAAGGTCCAGAGAGAGGCTGGGTTCACGTCTTTATACCTCAGACTCTGCTGAGGCCACATGCAGTTTGTTTGTTTGTTTGTTTGTTTTTTTCCTAAGCCCAGGAAAGCCCCAAGCACTCTTGGGTGAGGCAAAAGAGGGTCTCACCCCCTTCACTACAGCAGCTCCCATCCCTGTTTTGCAGTGCCAGCTCCCATGTGAGAGTACCGTGGGAGGAGGAAAGTCTGGTAGTGCAACTGCTATCAGTTGTGTTGAAAGTGGGGACAGATGGGAGCAGTGGAGGGGAAGGGACACACCTGGCTCACACTGAACTGTGCATCACAGTGTCAGCAGGGCCTCAGGTCTCTTGACCATGGTTTTGCAAACCTGTAGAGAATCTTGGCTTGTCAGCCACATACACAGGGTCGTGGAATGTGTTGTTTTTGGTTTTGGTTTTTGTCCTGCAGGGGAAAATCAGTAAGAGATGCCAGGAAAAAAAATCCAGCTTAGTTATGATATCTGGTTTCTGGAATGTATCAAAAGGAAGGGGGTCTGTGAAAAAAAAAAAAAAGTGAGACAGAGCCACACAGACTCTGTGTAGACCTTCTAATGGGTATGGGTGGGTATTAGGCATCTGGGTCTGTAGGGTTCTCTGTGAGCCCTGGTTGGACCTGCAGCCTCAGTATGGCAAGTAAGGCTCTGCTGTCCTGTGACAATCTTTATTAAGGGCTTTCTATGTGCCAGGCCACATTCTAAGGCTGAGCAGGGAAGAGATTCAGAAACAGGTCAGGTACATATCTGTACTCACAGTGGAATTGGGGGTGAAGGGCACAAAATATGAGGAATGGAGGTGGGCTACCACCTGACAGACAGAAGTGAGGGTACCAGCATGGGTCTAGAGGAAGGGATGAGGAAACCCCAAGACTGGAGAGAATTTGATTACACCAGGAGCCCCACAATGAGACAGAAAGTATGTTTTTTGATTTAAATCTGAGAGAAAACTTAGGTAAACAGGAATCTTAGTTGGCCTATAGTCCTAGTATTTGAGAGTCTGGGGTAGGAGAACTGCCAAGAGTTAGAGGCCAGCCTGGGCTACAGAGACCCTATCTCAAAATACAAAAACAAAGCTAAGCATGGTTTGTTTGAGAGCACTTGAGAGGAAGCAAGAGGATCAGGAGCTCAAGGTCAGCCTCAGCTACATGGTGAGTTAGAGGCCAGCTTAGACTACACGAGCCCTTGTCTTAAATAAAAACAATTAAAAAAGCAAACAAAAAGATCAATCCGGGAATCTTTCCCAGCCACTAGGATTGGGGCCGTGGACCTGTGACAGTGGCCTTGGTGTTGCACCTGGTTCTCTTTGCCAGTTTTGTAAAGAGGTAGAAAAGGGAAAGGGAGCCAAGCCTCTCCAGGTGGCTGATACTGCTGGTGAGAATACATTCATGCATTCAGCCATGCTTTCTGAGATGCCAGACTCTGTGCTGGGCCAAGAGCCCATAAAGAGGGAGAGGTGTCGTCACCATCTGGCAGCTCACCGAGGCTCCTGGTCTCTCTCATCCCAGGTTCTGGGAAGTGAAGGTGGGCAATGTCTAGTTATGTGGCCTTTTGCAGGGCCACATGGAGAAGTCACCCTTTATGGACCCATCCTGGGCCTTGAGAGAGGATGGGCAGCAGAGCCAGGGGCCTGGGAAGTCTGTCTAGGGCACTGCACTTTGCTTCCTTGACTGGATTTGGAGCCAAGAAGAAAGAGGATCCCATACAAGCATCTGGGAAAGATCCATTCATAAGCCAGCCTTCACCCTCCTCTAGAAACAGGCAGCAGAGGTTTCACAGACTGTCTTTGTAATCTTGGGCCTCCTACAAAGTAGCAGCAAGGCTGGGAGCATGCCTACTTTCCTGAAGCTGGTCACCTTTTCTCTTCTCATCCACTCAACCCTGTTCTATAAAGACCAGATTCAAACAGGTGAGAAGTTCTGGGACACACAAAGGCAGAGAAATCTGCCCAGAGTCACACAGCTTCTAAAAGAAGGTTCAGGGCCTGACTTGGGTTTGCTCTACACTTTCTTTGTAGACCAGGCTGGCCTTGAACTCATAGAGATCTGCCTGCCTCTGCCTCCTGAGTGCTAGGATTAAAGGCGTGCGCTATTACCGCCCAGCTTGCTCTACACTTTGGGTGAGCACAGCAAGTCTCTAGCCTCATTAAATCACACCCCCCCAAAAAAAATCACACTTCCATGCATGGTGTGGTGGTGGTTTCCTTTAAACGTAGAAGTAGCAGGACTAGAAAGATGGTTCAGTGGTTAAGAGCACTGGCTGCTCTTGTAAAGAACCCAGGCTCAATTGCCACCACTCACATGGGGACTCACACCATCTATAACCCAAATAAACAAACAAACAAACAAACAAACAAATAAAATACATATAAAATAAGGGTGGGGGGATAAACCAGCTTTAAGACAGCAGAGACAAAAGGATTTCTGTGAGTTCCAGGTCAGCCAGGGTAACCCAGTGAGATACTACTATCTCAAAACAAAACAAACAAGAAACCCCCTTAGTTTCTGCTTACAGTATTCACTTCTCAGGGGTGAGTTGAGAATGAAATGAGATGATGTGTGAAGCTGAGCAGAGTGATGCACTGTGCATGGCTGCAATCTCAGTGCTGGGGATGTAGGCACAGAAAGACGATGAGTTCAGGGTCATCTTTGGCTACATAGTGAGTCTGAGGCTCACTGGAGTTACACTAGATGCTGTCTCAAACAGAAAACAATAAAACAAAACAAACAACAAAACCAAAGGGGAAAAAAAAAGGCATAAAAGATACAGACATTTTGCTGGGCCCAACAAAATGAATTCTGTTTCTTCTGTTTGTCAGTCTTACATGCTAGTGTACTCTGTGATTCTCCAAGAGGCAGACCAAACACACATATCTGGCCACAGACCCTTTGTAGAGGGGGAACTCTTATTATCTCCTAGGGTTCTATAGAGTAGTCCAAAGAAGTTAGAGGACCACATTTTGTGTGCACAGGTGCTTGGTGCTCAACTATAGCTACCCTCCAGTATGGGTACTCACTCTCCTAACATTTCACCATTTTTTTTTTTTTTACTTTTTTGAAACAGGATCTCATGATATAGCCCAGGTTGGCCTCAAGCTCTAAAACCTTCCATGTGCTGGGATTGTGTGAGCCAGGCCTAGCTCAGACTCAGGTTCAGATTGTTCTAGTTCTGCACTCCATATTAGAGCCCAAAGTCTGGCCCAGTTTGTTGATGACACATGGGAAAAACGTGGAAGCTTCTGGACAAGTTTTGTTATTCTCTAAAAAAGAGACAGGGGCTGGGGTAGTGGCACAAAGGTAGAACACTTACCGGGCATGTGCAAGGCCCTGGGTTGGGTCCCTAGCATTACCAAAAAACAAAACAAACAAAAAATAAAAGAAGAGAGGCAAGAATACCCTATCTGGACTCCCTCTGGCATTATGGTGTCTATTAGCCAGAGTTAAAATAGCTGAAGCCCCCCACAGCCCTCTAGGAACCCCTAAGCCAGGGTCCCAGAAGACAGAAAAGATCCATCTTGTAACCAAATAAAAACCACAGGGTAACCAAGCCCCACCTCTGCCCCCTGTAGCTCTTTGCGTGTAAGGGAAGACCAGACTCTACTTGTTAACAGAGCTGCCAAGCATGTTCCTCAGATTCAATGCTTATGTACACAGGTGTGATTTGGTTTGTGCTACTTAATTCTCCACCTGCTACCTGAAGGCAGGGCCCTTGCCCTTCTACCTTGCCTTGACTAGGCAGGTGTCCCTGTTGAACTCCTGGTGCACCTGCTTATTTGGTGATCTGTCTTTCCCACGGTCTCTGCCCTTTGTGGGCAAAGCCAGGGTACCCTGTTCACCTTGTTTTCCTGGTGCCTCACACAGGATCTCATGCTCGTAAAGCACTTAATAAATACTTGCAGAGTGGATAAATACTGAACCATGAATGAATGCTTAACCTCTTTACAATCCTTGCCCTGCCTGCCCAGCAGAGTAGGATTGGTAAACACTGGTCATCCAGTCTTTGCTGGCAGGCAGAGTGCCACAGAATTGGGACATAGCCTTCAGGACACCTGGCTGCTTCAGCCCTTCTGATGACCCTGACAGCCCCACTGGCAAATGCTTATAGGTGACTTCCAACCAGGTGGGGATGAGGAGTGACCTAGATGAATCTACAGATGAATGTCTAGGGGAAACCTGTGTCCAGAGAGGCTAAGATCTGTGGAGGGACTTAACAGTCAGGGTCCCTATGCCCTTCTGCTGGCCTGGGGGGCCCTGTTTGGCTCTCCCCAACAGCAGCCACCAACAGGAATGACAGCTCTGCCTGGGATCCAGGTATGTCACAATTTGACTGATGAAGCAGTGTGCCAGGGCTTCCTGTGCAGTCTGCCAGATGGCTTCAGAGTTGCCCTGTGCCTGATGAGCCCTCAGCCAGCAGGCTTCTGGCAGCACAGCCCCGGGGAAGGACAGCAGCCCTGGGCCCTCACTGAAGCAACAACTGATGTTTCTGCTTGGGGCTCTCATCAGAACAAGGCCACGATATTGACAGTCTCCTCCCTTTCTATACCCTCTTGTCCCCACTATTATGATGGGGAGAGCTGTACTTGAACAGAGTCCCTGGATTTCTGGGTTTTATGAATCAATGTGACTACAGAACTTTGAAGCAGAATTATTAGCTCCCCTACCCCCATTCTTTACCTGTCTGTCATTCTTTCTGCCATCACCACTGATTTCAGTTTCTTCACAGGGGAAACCATTCCAGAGCTCAATATTTTATTTTTACTTATTTGTGAGACAGGGTCTCACTTAGATTGGAATTCAGTATGCAGTTATGAAAATCCTCTCAGGTTCTTGAGTGTGTGAATTAGAGGCATGAGCTACCATGCCCAGCTTGGGTGACCTTTCTAAAACACAAAGCCCATGAATTCATAGGACCTTTACCACATCCACACTGGCCTTGAAGCCACTATTGTTTTTCCTCATTCAGCTTGTGAAGTTTCCTCCTTGCTCTGTAGAGCCACCCCTACACATGCTTCAGCTCTCTGTCACTTTCTCAGGGGAGCCTTCCTGTCTAGGCTCCTAGCAAGGGCCCAGGAGGCTGCCCACTATTGTGCTTGTTTGATGAGCTGAATAATGCAAATTTCACATGGATATAGGCAGTGTCTACTTTACTTCCCACTACAGCTCCAGTACTAAATTAATCCAGGGTGATAAGCACCAGACAAATATTTGTTGAATGAATGACTAGGTCATGAATGGAATACAATGCTGAAAAAGTAGGAAGAAGAGAAACTAAAAATAAAAGAAAACCTTAAAACAGAATTCTTTCATCTTTGGAAAAAACTTACTCACCATACTTAATTCTCTTGTTTTGTCACAGCCTGGAGACAATCAGGTCAAAAATGGCTTCTAGGAAGCACTGACTAGCTCTATACCAGTTCACACATTGAAAGACATAATAGAAGGGACAAGGGAAGGATTTGGCCCTCTGGCCTTTACCACTTATAAGGAGGTATCAGTGCACAAGGCTGGCTTCAGAGGGCCCCCTGAGGGGCTGGAGAGATGGCTGCTTTTACAGAGGACCCAGGTTTGGTTCCCACATAGCAGCTCACAATTGTCTGTAATTCCAGTCCCAGCACTTTTCTGGGTCTCTATGACGACCAAGCATGTACACAGTGCACACACATACATGGAAGCAAAGCATTCATCCATCTAGAAGGACCTTTGCCTTCTCTCCATACCTCCAGAACTGGAACACACAACCCCTGTGTAGCTTTGGAGCCTATCCTGGCACTCTCTCTGTAGACCAGGCTGGTCTCAAACTCACAGAGATCTGACTGCCTCTGCCTTCCGAGTGCTGGGATTAAAGGCGTGTGCCACCAACGCCCAGCTTCGTGTCCTTCTATACTCACCTCCTGCCCTTGTGCACTCGGCTCAGGTCCACTGAATCCCTGCTGAACACATCAAATTCATCATTCTGGAAGACGTTATGACGGGATGTCAGCAGGGGTGTAGGGTCCGGCTTCACTTGTCTGGGGACCACAACACAGAAATCAACTCAGAGAGCCCTGCTGATTGACATCTACTTGTGTCCCAAACCTCTCTGTGTTTTCCCCAATCAAACTGTCCACTCCATTCCAAAGCCAAGCCTTGGATATAAGTCAAGCCCTTTAATGGGGAGCCTTTAATTAGGCTTTACTTAACTCGGCCCCTGTCACAAGAGCCCACAGCCACACCTCACCCTCATTCCCTGTGTGCCATGCATACCAGTTTTCTATTTCTCATAGGCCCACAATGGCCCTATGAGACAGGGAGTTATAGGTTGCTCAACTTCTGTTTTGGGGGTGGTGGTGAAGAGCAGTTGTGTTTGCTTTTTGTACAGGAATGTAATATACAACCTCACACAAGCTAAGCCCGTGCACTACCACTGAGCTTCACCCTCAGCTCCTAATCTACCTCCCTATGTTTTAGCACTGTCATCTGTAAAATGGAACACAAACAGGCTGAGGAATGGTCAGCACAAAGCTAACTTCACTCATTCATTTGTTCATGGAAGAAGCATCCACTTGTGCCCTTATATTTGCTGTCTCCTGAGGCTTTCAGGATAGCAGTGGGCCAAAATCATGAGGTTCAGTGTAGAGAAAGTGAGTGGCTGTCCTAACTCAGAAACTGGGATTGTGCTAAGAATGAGGCAGATCTGGACTGGGGATGCGTGTCAGTGCTCTTTGCCACACTGCTAATCTTTGTAAGTCTTCCTACAAGGTCCTGCAAGGACAGCCAGCTGTGTGCTGAGAACTTTACAGGCCTCAAGCCTACTGTCTCTGAAGAAGGCACTAGTTCAAACTGCTGAAACACTGCTGTGGAAAGGGGGCAACTGTGTCCCCCAGTCTAGGGGGAGAGAGTGAGAGTTAGGGAAAGGGGACCTTGCCTTGAGGACCTCTTCCCATTTCTCTCTCACCTTTCTAGGCTTCGGTCCAGCTGGCTGAGTTCAGGGGCCAGCCGATCCTCCAGGATGTTATTGATCACCTGCTCTGAATCATAGCTGTAGTGCTCCAGGCAGGCCAAGATGAAGCCCTCCCCAAGGTCTGGCAGCAGGTCTTTCACTTGGGAGATGAGTGAGTCTAGTTCCACACCACACACAGTCGGGCCCAGGGCGGCTGCTGCACCCATGCACTGCAATGCAAGCCAGAGTAATAGAGGAAAGACAAGGCTGCCAAGTGAAAGGGTGAGTCTCCAAACAGTGCTGCATTTGTCATCAGGGGCCCTGACCTTGTCCTTCCTAGTTGTAGAACCTTTGCCAAGTGACTTAAATTTGAGCCCCTAATTGTTTCATTTGGGAAAAGAGGGGCTCTATGACTTCCTAGGTGAGTTATGCCCTGCCTATGTGATTTGGAGCACTGTATGTCCTTTCTGAACTGTTCCCTCCTTATGAAATAGACAAGATATCATTGATCTCATAGGTTATTTCAAATGGTTCAATGAAGGGATGTACATTACCCATAAAGAAGAGTATCTGGCAGGAGGGCCTCCATAGTCAATGTATTAGTGGTCAAGGTCCTTGCCCAACTCTACCAAGGTGACTGCTTTTAAAGGACAAGAGCAACTACCAGTGAGACCAAGTGGACATGTCCCTTACGTAACATTCTTTTCAGTAAGGAGACTTCATTTCACATAGTGCCCAGTGCGGCTTCATTTTATAATGTCTTTAAGGAGATGGGCAGATATAAACAATAAAGGGCTAGAGATATAGTGGTAGAATGCTTGCATAGCACCAGCAAGGCCCTGGTTCAATCCCAACACTAAAACATCATGATGATCACAATGATAATAAAGAAGCTGCCCAATAGGGAAGAAAGGATCAGAGTCAAACAGGAAGGGCAGCAGCATTTGCTACTGGGTATTGAGGACCAGCTAGAATCAAGTGTCCACATAGCCCAGGAACCCCAACAACTCAACATAAGAGATATGCCACACACAGCAGACCAGACTACCATGCAGCAGCCAGCCCTGAGATGGTGTAGTCTTCATGCTTGTACCACACAGGGACAAGTCCTGGGCTCCATGACCCTTCCATACAGGCTTAGCTAACCTTGGAAAAGCAGGGAAAGGACGCACTAGGTCCAGGGCTTCTGCCATGTTCAGTAGAGTCCTGTCATCCTGAGAGGTGGGTCAGGCACTGAGTTTAGCTGCCAGCAAAGGAGCTCCACCTTAACCCAGTGTGGGAGGGGCTGGGGAAGGAGTCCACAAGCAAAAGCTTCACCTCTTCATTTTACAGAGAGAAACAGAGCTGAGCATGGTAGTGCATGCCTGTAATCCCAGCAGTTGGAGGTAAAGAGAGGAGGATTGCTGTGAGTTCAAAGCTAGCCCGGATTATTGAGTAAGATAGATAGATAGATAGATAGATAGATAGATAGATAGATAGATAGACAGACAGACAGACAGGCAGGCAGGCAGGCAGGCAGGCAGACAGACAGACAGACAGACAGACAGACACTGAGACCAAGTTCAAGGGCTTAGGAGCTGTGTTCTCTTCTGCATCCAGGTACTACAAGCAGCCCCAATGCTGGAATCTACCAATCCCCACAGACTCTTTTCTCTAAAGGCAGAAACAAAGAAGGGAGCTTGGCCACTTGCTTATCTCAAGAGGTGGCCAGGAAGGTTAAGGAATCAGAGGTCAGAGGAAGGAACTCCCAGATACACACCTCCTCATCCTCCTCTGAGTTCTCCAGCTGTGACGACGGCATTTCACTGATTGGCTTCGGTGTCATTGTGACTTCATTATTAGCATCCTTGGCCCTTGAAGGGTCTTTAATGTCCTTGATTTTCTGTCTGTCCACCCCTTCCCATGCACTTTCCACAGCCTGCAGGATGTAGGCAGTCCGGGTCTCATCCCTATGAAGCAGTGTTAAGGGCTATCTTGCTCAGGACCCACCTCAACAGTTCTGGGTAGTCTGACTTCTCAATCCCTCCCTGTCCAGCATCTGACCATGTGAATTTCCCCAAGGGCCTGCTGGCCTGCCCGGTATGTGTCACATGGAACAGCATGCCAGACCCTTGCACCTGCTGCTCAGTAGAGCAGCTCTGGGCAGACAGGGCTGGGGATTACCATCAGTGTCCTAGGCTTTTACATGAGCTGACGGCTTACTCTTATGCTCTGATACTCAGGAGGGCCCACTGGGGGTCCCTGAGGCAGGACTGAACATGACACAGCAACAGAAATGGCACAAAGGCCAGCTCCTCCCTAGCCCTCCTTTCTCTCTGTCACTCTGGGCACTGAGTTGCTCCATATCCTCACTCTACTTATTCCAAACCCTCATGATCCAAGCAGGGAGGCCTGTAGCAGCCATCTCTGCCTCTGGTGGTCCCAGACCAGTCATTTTCCTCCCAAAGACAAATGGAGCCTTTCTAGAGTATCAACAGCCCATGCCACTCTGCTTCCCCAACTCCCATGCTTCCTAGCACCTGTAGCATATAGCCCAAACTTCTTCATAAGCATCACACAAGGGCCCTGAATATTGGTCAACCCCAGATCACTTGCCACATTCCCATCAGACACTCCTGCCCACTGCCATATAAACAGCTACACATGACCAGAGGATTCCTCAAAGAGCCAGTTCTCTTTGTCTTCCCAACCCCTAGGAACACTCTTGTCCTCAACCTAAGTTTGGACCAGGCCATCTTTTATTTGTTCTATTTTTGGCTTGGGTATTTTCCTCTGGTGCCCACCCTGAGTTCTGCTATGTGAGATGTCGTCCTACTTCTTCTCATGTGACACATCCTAACTGTTCATTTACTTGTCCCCATCTCCTACAATGGGGTTCAGGTTTCTAGAGTACAACTTGAACACACAGACCCAGACCCTTAGAGCACACCTAAAGAGAGCAGGCTTTCCCTTGCCCCACACGTTGGAGCAGTTGTCACTTCTAGAAAAAGAGAACTGGGGCCTTGTTGGCCTTCTTGATGTGAGTGTTCTGGGGGTTGCCTTCTGTCCCTCTGGGCCCCAGCATACCATGTCTGACCTAGTCAGGCCTTGGCCCAGTGAGCTGTAGCAGGATACAAGGCTGATGAAGCCTGCTGTAGCAGGCTGATGTCTTCAGCTATAGGGAAGAATGAGTCATAGTCCCGGAGGAATCTGCAGGGTAGAGCACAGAAAGGCTGATCAAGTTCAGGACCATAGGAACATGTACTCTGAAAGGTTAACCCATGTCTGCTACCCAACCACAGGCTCCAGAACCTCCATTCCATGCAAGTATATATTAGTGGCTCCACTGTGCACGATCTCGTGGGACTGGAGAGAGGGACATGGGCCTGTGCCATAGCTGGTCCCCACTCAGCTCCACATACCTCTTTTCCTGCAGCAAGGAGCTGAAGATCTGAAGGAATTCTTCAATGAAGCCTTGAATGTTGTCACAGCTAGGATAGGATATGAGGGAAGATGAGCTCATGCAATGTAGGATGACTTGCAGGTCCTTGGATGCTCACCCTACCCCTCTGCAGTCTCTGGCCAGTTGGAGAAAGGCATTTTTCTGGGTTTCCCATTATGTTTGGCAGAGAGTAAGGAGGGAGTGGAGGAGTGATGAGAGCACCTGCTGTGTATAGAGGCTCCTTGAAGCTTACCTGCTCTCTAGAATGGGAAGGAGGCAGATCTGGTTCAGGATGATGTGAAACACCTCCATTAGCTTTTTCTTGGAATGGGAAAGTCTCTGCCACATGTCACCTAGCAGCCTTTGATGGTCAGAGAGAAGAGAAGTAGACTTAAGAATGAAAGGAACCATGGGAACTTCTTCCTAGCAGTTGCAGGTGCTTGCTCACAACTGAAGTAGTCTTAAAGGTCACTGATGGGAGCAGCTGACAAAAGGCTACAAATACTGGGTAGCCAGCTGGCTCCAGACCACTTCTGGAATTAAACAGAGGGTCAGGAACAGCAAGGTCAGTTACCAAGAGCTTGAAGCAACAGCTGGGCTTACATGCAGGCACCAGCTATTATCTGGCAGGATTTGGGTAACATGGAATTAATGGATTTAGTGGTCAAGAAGGACATTCAGACAATTCTCACAAGGTGGCCTGTAGCAAGCCAGTGTACAATTAATATTTATATCTCTACTTGTGCAGTATATGGCGATTAAGGCAGACTAACTGGTCAATGTGTAGAGAATGATAGACCACAGGCTGCTAAGCCCCAAATGGTACATCTATGTCAAACCCCTTCTCCCAAGGTCAGAGGGCACTGCAGAAGAAGGGGTGGAAAGATTGGAAGAGACAGAGGCTGTGGGTGGCTACAAGGAAAGAATGTTTTCTGAACATAGCAGGACAGCTGCACATATAAACTCACAGCAGTTGTGACAAAATGAGCAAGGCCAAATCCCAGTATGGAGGGGAGGGTAGGCACAAAGTCCTACCCCTAGCTGAGGAGCTATTGGCAACTGATAGCTACTGGGAGAGAATGAATCAGCTTTCTTTAAAGGTATAGCCCCTGGTAGGTTGAGCACACCACAAAGGAAGGCCACATATCCAAGAGTATATGGACAGCACAGATTTGACTTGATATGTTAAGAAAAAAAAGAAAGAAAAGAAAAAAAAAAGAGGAGAAAATTGGGTAGATAGAGAAGGAGAAGTGAATCTGGGAGGAGTTGGGGGAGGGAAAATATGATCAAAATATATCGTATGAAATTTTCAAAGAGCTAAATAAATATATTTTTTAAAAGATTTTATTTATTATGTATAAACATTCTGCTTCCATGTATATCTGCACAACAGAAGAGGGTACCAGATCTCATAATGGATGGTTGTGAGCCACCATGTGGTTGCTGGGAATTGAACTCAGGACCTCTGGAAGAGCAGCCGGTGCTCTTAACCTCTGAGCCATCTCTCCAGCCCTAAATAAATATTTTTTAAAAAGCAAGTAAACAATAAATCTCTACTTGCCAAATTATTTCTCCTTAGGTCCTTACAAAGCATGTATTGTGGCAGTGGTGCCTGTCTTTAATCCTGGCACTCTGGAGGCAGGAGGATTTCTGTGAGTTTGAGGCCAGCCTGGTCTACAAAGTGAGTTTCAGGACAGCTAGGGCTACACAGAGAAACCC